CTGAACCTGCCACCTTTACCCCAAGTTGTGCACGTGTGTCCAGTGCACACACACTGGGGCACAGCTTTGGGGTGCAGAGCCAGATTAGATAAGGCACCCTGTGTGCTGGTGGCATCCATCCTCAGACAGGTCCTCTCCCACCACCAGGGAACGGACTTTGGGAAAGTCATCTCTGACCACCTGCAGACACTTGGGTGGCTGGAAGGGCTGGGAGTGCAGGCTCACTCCCAGTTCAGTTCCTGGGAAGTCAGGCCTCAGGGACAGAGGAGTGGCGGGGACGGGGTTGGGGGATGTCTTTGTTCTGGGCATGTGGTCTGCCCCCACCTATCCCTGCTGGGTCAGTGCCCAGGCCTCGACATCCTCCTCCTCCTCCCCTCAGCCTGGCAGTGTTCTGCCAGGGACTTCCCTGCTGTCACCAGGTGGGGGATCTTGCCTAACTGGTCTGAATGGATAGCTCAGAGGCGGAACTGGAAGCACCAATTGGGAGGAGTGGTGGGAAAAGCAGCCCCATTCAAGGGCTGAAAACAGTCCTTGCCTACCGGGCAAGACTTGACAAGGCCCCACCAAGAAGGCACAAGGAGGCTGCTGTTAGGACGTGAGGTTCAGCACACAGGCAGGTGCAAGTGGAGACAACCGTGGCCCAAACACACTCATCATTACCTCAAACTTTATTGCTCACGAGGAGTTCTCTACCGTCTCAACTCTGCAGGACCAAGGCTGCAGTTCTTCACGCACGGGGGGCCGGGGGTCTCTCCCTGGGGAGCAGCATGGCTCAATGTGGAGAGCTGGGCAGAGGCCACCTTGGCAAAACGTGGGGATGAGCTTCTCCCCAGATGGAATCTCAGGGGACATCCCCTCACCCCACGACAATTCACAGTTGATTAATGCTACATGAGTGCTGACCAGCTCCCCCGGAAAGAAGAGGCTGGGCTGGGATGATGGTAGGGGGTGCTCACCTTAAAGAAACCTGAAGGAGGTTTGAGGGGTCACATGCATGGAGAAGGCTCAAGAGCTGAGTCCCTTCACCCCATCTCCTGGCCTGCTTGTGCTCATGCAGAACCGCTGGCCTGCCCTCCTGGAGGGCAGCCATGAAAGTGCTTGAGGTCATCAGAGTGCAAAGTGCAGCTGGCAGTGCCCCCAAGACCAGGGGCAGCAGGACCAGTGAGTGTCTCGGGAAGCTCATGTGAGGCCGTTGAGAGCCGTGGCCTGGGTAAGAGTAGCGCCTGCGTCTGCTGCCTTCTCTCGAGTCTATCGTGCTCTGTCCTCAGACCGTTCCCATCAGGTAGGTCTCATGTCGCCCTTCACTACTACAGATGAAGGAGCTGAGTGCCAGCTGGGCAGGGGCGGTGCTGGCCCTGCGGTTGGGGCTCGGGGCCTGCTGCTCTGGGGAAAACTGGTGGCCAGCAGCAAAGGGGCATGTGCTTAGAGACTGAGAACCATGTCACTTGAACGCCTTCTCTGGTCCTTGGCTGAAGCTGAGCTCAGCTCAGGGCCTGGGTTGTGGCTCCCTGAGAAGTGTGGTGTTTTCTCCCAGGGAGACCCCCAGTGTCAGGCATTCCTCCCTCCCTGACCTGGTCTGAAAAGCACCTAGAGATAGAAGGGGGGCTGATGGCCAGGCAAGGCCGGCCAAGGGCGTCAGAGGGCCCCCTCCATTAACCCAAGGGTAGGCACACCTGCTGCCCCAGTCCTGTACTGGGCCTGGGGGTAGGTCATTAGATGCTCATACCTGCCTGGAACCTGAGGGAGGGGCTCGCCCACCTCTCTGGGACCTGGGCCGGAAGCCACTCTCCCCTGACTGCCACCAAGTGGTCACTGATCCTAATGGGTCAGGCCAGCTTGTCAGGACCAAGGCAGAGAAGACCCTCTTTGTTCCCCATGGGAAGAGGCCTCCTGTCTTCCTCCTCCTCCTCCTCATGTGGGCTCAGGAAGGACACAGGTGGGAGATCCTGGGAGGTGTTCTGCTAGCCCCACCTTACTGCTGCCAGCCCCTGGTCCCACCGCTGAGCCACAGGCTGGCAGAGCCCTGGGAGACCCCTGTCTCAGGGGCAGCATTGAGCACCGAGAAGGAAGGTCGCTTCTGGCTGAGTGGAGCCAGTGGTGGAAGGCTGCTTAGGGCCTGTTCTCCAGCTGGCCGTGCTTGACCCTCCAGCTCCAGGCGAAGCTGCCATCAGGGGCCAGGGTGCACTGCAGGTCGATGCCCGAGTCTGGCACCTCCATGTCGTAGCGCACGGGCTGCCCATCCTTGGTCACCAGGCTGAAGGCTGAGGCTGGGATCTGGGGGCAGAGCAAATGAATGGGCCTGAGAGTGGCAAGGGGCACCGAAGGTTCCTAGAAGTGCGGTGCTGATGGTCTCCTGCCGTGCTGGCAGACACCTCCCTCCAGCCGAGTAGGCAGCCCTGAGGTATCATCTACCTTTCATTCTGGAACACTTGCAGAATCTCACCTGGCCCAAGTGTGGATCCTGAGGACCCTTCAATCACCACGGCCAGTCTTGCCCTGGGACCCCGGCGGACATCTGGGGCCAACTATTCCCTCTGGTGCCATTTCTACTTATTCAAAAGCCTCCTTCCTGGAGGACTGGGCTAGGTGCACTGGGTTCTAAGTGTGTACCTGCCCCCTTACCTGGCTGCTGATGCCGGTTGCGATGTCTCCCACCTTGACCCGGTGGAATTCCCGGATGTGCAGGTGTTCGCCATTGAGAGACTGTATTTGGACTTTCACACCTAGAAGGCAGGTAAGGTGACGATCAGGGGAGTGGCTGCTAGCTCCCTAAGGCGCCCTGTGTAGGGGGAAGCAGGGTGGCTGTGGGGAAGCTGCAGAGATGACATGGAGGATGGAGTGGCTGCAATGTTATACCCCTGCTAGCTCGTACTGGGCATTTCCTGTCAACACCAGGAATTTGGCCTGCACAGTGCAAAGATCTAGGGTTGGCTCCTGTGGGGAAGTGCTATTTCAACTTACAAAGCAGAAAGGGACTGGAAACAGAGATTCTTAAATTAGATTGTGGGCAACTTAGATTGTAAGTCCCTGAGGTGGAGCGGCCTGTGGCTAGGCATGGGGGCTTGATGCCATGAGTCTCACTGTCCCCAGGGAACCGTGAGCTGATGAAACCCTCATTCTATCAAAATCACACGACCTCTGCAACCACACTTGAAAACAGAGTTCTACATATGTTGTCCTTCTCATCTTCTGACTTCAAATGTCAGAGGAGGATCTCAGCAAACCTACTACTGAGTTTTTTTTTTTTTTTAATATTTATTTATTTTTGGCTGCGTTGGGTCTTTGTAGCTGCGCGCAGGCTTTCTCTAGTTGCGGAGAGCAGAGGCTACTCTTTGTTGTGGTGCACAGCCTTCTCGTTGCGGTGGCTTCTCTTGTTGCAGAGCACGGGCTCTAGGCGCATGGGCTTCAGTAGTTGTGGCTCATGGGCTCTAGAGCTCAGGCTCAGTAGTTGTGGCGCACGGGCTTTGTTGCTCTGTGGCATGTGGGATCTTCCCGGACCAGGGCTCAAACTCGTGTCCCCTGCACTGGCAGGCGTATTCTTAACCACCGCGCCACCAGGGAAGCCCCTATTGCTGACTTCTTGATTAAAACGCTCATGGGGTCCCGTTCTTCCTTTTCCCTTTAGAAGACATTCATTGCTCAGTTTTTGGACTCCAGGCCAGGAAAGACTGCTCTCTGCCCCAAGCTACAGGCCTTCTGGGACTCTATCAACTGCTCACAAGGGGCAATGGTCCTTGACTGCCCCATGAGGAAAGGCTCTGGGTGACCAGGGCCTTTACTCTAAACCAACTTAATGGCCAGGTACCTCAAATCCTGGGTGCCAGGTGCCTTCCTCTCCCTTCCCCACTGTGCCCCACTCTCAGACTCCCCAGTCCCAGGCGGATCAGGGGACTGTACCGTTGAAATAGCTCGGTGTGTCGGTGGGCCGCCCCCGGGCCAGCACCATGTTCCAGCTGGAGCTGCGGGCCTCCGCCTGGCTGCTCCACGAGTGCACGCCGGAACTCAGGGTGTCCCGCGAGCTCTGAGAGGCCTTGGACGGGTTCTGAAACAGGAGTGGGCACAGACTCAGGCCCCCGGGCTCAGGGAACCATCTCTGGCCTTGGTCTGATTTGGCGAGGAAGTGCCCACGTCCTAGGCTGGAGCGTGGCTCTCCTGAGCATCGGGGCGCAGCACAGGGCTGAGCTCCCAAGGGGCCCTTGGGCTGCAGGAGAGTGAACAGTAATTCTATGGGGACCAAAGCCAAGCCTTTGCCCTCACTGTCCTAGTAGCCAAACCAGTCCCTAATTCCCAGGTGTGCTGGAGATGGACCGTCTCATTCTGAGAAACCAGGACACCTGCCCCAGTGAAGACCCCTCCCAGAAGGAATGGGCACCCCTGTCACCTGCCCTTTACCCACTACTTGTGCACGGCCCCTTCACTGGCCGGACAAAAAGCACCTGCCCTGTGCCCCGGCTCCTGGCCCACGGCCGACTCACCTTCTCACTGTCATCTGACAGGGAGAGGCTGTCGACGCTGAGGCATGACAGGATTTGCTCCTGTTCCTCCAAAGAAAATGGCTGCGACAGGCTGTTCAGAAATAATTCTGCAGAGAAAGGAAGAAGATGGCTGTGAAAGACTGGGAGGGTCTGGCTGTGCCGTCGGCGTTCTTCTGCAGAGACTGCTGCCCCTGGGGACGAGGACGAAGCCCAGGCCTTGGTGCAGGGCCCAGGCCCATGCCCAGGGGCCTGTAGGCTGTGGCTGCCCATACCTATTTCCAGCTGTTGCAGCTCTTGCTCGGGGAAGGTTGCCTTCCGCTCTGGTGAGCTGGAGCTCTTGGCTGGGGCCGGATCCAGGGAGGACAGAGCCAGTGGTTCCCACGTCCCGGACTCTTCTTTGCCCCAGTGCAGGCTGGGAGACTTGTTCTGCTCTGGGGGCTCTGGGGGTGGAGGAGGCTGGAGCTTAGAGGCCCCGCCTGCTGCGTCCTCAGCTGGCTGGGGCCCCGGGGCCTCTGGTGAGAGCTCCCCTGGCGAGAGCTCCACTGGTGGGGCACATAGGGTCTGGTGAGGGTGCCCTTGGCTTGGCGGTGGGTGGGCTTGGAGTAGCGGCGGATGTCTTGGTTCTTTGTATTCTCCCTTCCAAGGGCTCCTCAGACCTCCCACTACAAAACAGAGAGCACACGTGGTGAGGTGGAAATGGGCCAGGCCAGGTGGCCTTTCCTGAGCAGAAGAGGGCCAGAAGTGGGCAGTGAGGGAGGCCTTTTGCCCGGCCAGGACATGACTTCAGAGGGCAGTGTGTGGTCTCCAGAGGAGGCCTGTTCCATAAGATGGCCCCGATGACGGGACTAGGACAGTATTTCTTTTATTCCATTTTCCTCCTAGGTAACAACTGCAAATTTAAAAATTATAGAATTGGCTCCAGAGAAGGACTTTGTTAATATTAATAGTAAAGAGGAGATTTAAAAATAGCTCTGGAGTAATGCCAACTCACAGTTCCCAGGCGAATGGGCCTCGCTGACCCTCCGTCTCTCTTACCCCTCCCTTCCCGATAGTCAGTGCTTCCTGAAGACACCATTCCTCTGGAGTGGGGGGCAATTCAGCCCTGGGGCCATTACAACTACCATCTAGGTTTGGCGTCAGGGGGCTATGCAAGGTCTCTCTTCTGTTTTACTTATTCCCTTTCGTTCCCATAACCAGTCTCTCCCTTGCCACCCCCTACCCTGCCCCCGGCTGATGTTCTCTTATGTTCAACATGTCATTTTCGGTTTGATCGAATTCTTGCAAAGCATGTGTTGTTTTTATTTATCAATTTAAAAAAATACATTTATTTTATTTTTGGCTGCGTTGGGTCTTTGTTGCTGCACGTGGGCCTTTTCTCTAGTTGTGGCGAGCGGGGGCTACGCTCCGTTGCGGTGTGCGGGCTTCTCATTGCGGTGGCTTCTCTTGTTGCAGAGCACGGGCTCTAGGCGCGTGGGCTTCAGTAGGTGTGGCATGTGGGCTCAGCCATTGTGGCTCGCAGGCTCTAGAGTGCAGGCTCAGTAGTCGTGGCACACGGGCTCTAGAGTGCGGGCTCAGTAGTTGTGGCACACGGGCTTAGATGCTCCGCGGCACATGGGATCTTCCTGGACCAGGGCTCAAACCCACATCCCCCGCATTGGCAGGTGGATTCTTAACCACTGCGCCACCTTCCCTGGTGGCTTGATAAAGCCCTATTTATCAATTTTTAATTTCCAGAAAAGGCACTGTGTTCTAGGTAGGCCTTGCTCTGTTGGTCCTCTTTGCAGCCAGCACTGCGGCTTGAAGATCCAGCCAGCTTGCCCCGTGAGCACTGAGTTGCTTTAATTGCTGTGAGCGCTGCGTGGAGCATCCTCCACCCCCCACCCCCACCTTTGGCCTCTCCAAGCTCCCAGGGAGGGACACCCGACTCCCCTCCCACAAACGACACTGCAGCGTGCATCCGCAGGCGTGTCCCCTTATGGATCTGGGCAGAGTTTCTTTGGCGGTGTGCCCTGGAGTGGGGTGCTGGGTCCCGGGTCTGCAGACGTCTGCCGGAGTGCTGCCAGGTGCTCTCCAGCAGAGCGCAAAGGCCACTGTCCCTCATCCCCTCCAACACTTGGCGTGACACCAACTTCCTGATTTTCCCCACACAAATGGCTAGAAAGTGATACCTGGCTTTATTTCACATTCTCTGATACTGAGTTCAAGCCTCCCTTTATATGTTGTAACCCCTTGCCCCATCTCTGAGCACAGCCACTGCATCAAGACACAGTACTAAGCACAGTACAAGGCACAGTACTAAGCACTTTGACTCACGTGACCTCAGTCTTCCTAACAAGCCTGAGGTTGGTGTCATGCCCATGCTCTAGAAGGGAAACCAAGGCTCTGAGAGGCTGAGTACCTTGCTCTTGGCCACTACACGACCCCGCCTCCTCTCTCGCCCCCTGCAGCCAGCATGGGGCTCTTACCATGCTGCAGCGCCAGGCTGACCTTCCCCCCCAGCTCTGCTGCAGACGCTCGGTGGACAGGCTCTTTCCTGAGCCCTTCCTGGATGGCCTGGGCTGTGAGGGGGGCACAGGAGGGCGGGATCTCCCTCACAGGCGGAGGCTCGCTGGCAATCTGGGGGTCAAAAGGCAACATGTGAGGCCCGCCTCCCCGTCACTTCCTGGCCCCCGGCTTTCTGTTCTTGTTCCTCCCCACTCTCCCCTGCCCTGCTGTGTGGGGGTCGGTCACAAGGACTAGAGTGGCCTGGTCTAGAGTGAGGGCTGGGACTTTTCCAAGAAAAGGTAGGACAGCACAGAGCCAGGGGGTGAGGCGCCCATGACCCCCAGGCCCAGCCTGTCAGGAGGCAGGCAGAGGTGGCCTGGGGTGTGGATGCAAGAGAGCCCTGAACCATGAACCCAAGAAGACCCCTCACCTAGGATCTGCCCTTGGACCCTCAGATTCCAGTAGCCAAGTATTTTAGTCAGGATCCCACATTTATGATGAGGCCTCTGCTTGCTCCCATCGGCCAAAATGGGAGGCCACATCAAGCCTGCAGCCTGGGCCCCGTGGCCCTGCTGGCTGTCCCAGGTGCTGTCACGGACCTTGAGGCACAGCGGCCCTCGGAAGTACTGGGTCCAAGGGTGGCAGCCATTGAGCATGTGCAGCATCATGCAACAGCTGCTCCAGATGTCCACCTTGGCATCACAGGGCTTGCCCATCACCACCTCTGGCGCCATGTGGGTCTCTGTACCGGGGATGTAGTCCCCTGAGAAGGTGAGGAGAGACAGAAGAGGCAACTGTGAACTCTGATGGGCAGAAGCCTCGGCAATGACCACCCGAGTCAATTCCTGAAACACCCCGACTGTCTCAAAGTACTTTAAATAGAGATAAAGCCTCCAAATCAAACTTGCTGGGGCTGAGCCAAGTGTGCTGGGGACTAGGACAAAGAATGTATCATCCAAAACACAGGCTCTGCTCTGTGGACCAAACCCTTAAAGTGCTTTCCAAAAGCCGGGGTGGGGGGGGTGGCCTGGACCCTGGAATTCGGTTGTAGGAGACTGATCAGTGGTATATGATGTTCCTAAAATGTAGGTTAGAAAAAACAAGGAAAAAGAAAACTTATATGCATAAAAGACTAGAAAGATTAATGCCAGATGTGAACAGTATTTTTTTCCGGCGGTTTGTATTTTTGCTTAGCTTTACTTTCTGCAAAAGATATTAGAAAAGATATTTTTGTAATAAGAAGAAAACACTACAGTTATTCCAAAGTGGAGGGCAGATGTCCATGTTCAATTTACATCTTCAGAATTACCAACAGTCCTTTAACAACAAAGAATCACTTCTAAAAGACTGTTTTTCCTTTGGTCAAAATGAAATAATTTTATGCTAATGCTATAAATAAAAAAGCAGGGCACAAAATCGTGTTATAATGGCCTTAACTATGTATGGAAAAAAAAAGACCTGGAGGGAATTATCTAAAATATTCATGATTATCTCTCTGGGCAAGAGGGATGGTGAGAATTCTTTTTTCCTCCCCTTCCATACCACTTAACACTGTAGTTGCCAAATATTTTACAGTAGGTATGGATTATTTTGATAATCAGAAGAATGTAAGTTAAAAACAGAGATTTCTTCAGCTACTGAGCCCCAGCCCCTTGGTCAGCCTTCCCATTTTGCTTTCAGAAACTGTGCTCTCAGACACACAGGAGGGCTGAGGTTGCAGGCTGGTAGCACAGCTCCCCAGAAAAGGCTGGACAAGAGGGGTGGAGCTCTGGGGGCTCTGAGGTAGGAGACCTGGGGACCTCGGGCGAGGCACCCAGCCTTTCTGTTCCCTACCCTGTATAACAGGAACGTCAGAAGCAAGCACCTGACATGCATTATTGCATTTAAGCCTAACAACAAAAGCTTCATGATAACCTAGGGCTGCTGTGGGCCTGAAGTACCTTGGTGGACCTAAAGTGCTCACATCTCTGATTGCCATTAAGGAAAGTACAGGAGAAGGCGCATGGCTAATGCGTAGTAAAGGCTACTGGCTATTATCATCGTGGGGAGCGGTGGCGGGGAGGGGCGTACCTGTGAGCAAAGACTTCCCCAGGCCATCAGGTTGAAGGCACACAGCATGGCCAAAGTCGCAGAGGGCTGCGTGGCTCCCATCGCTGGACAGGAGCACATTGTCGGCTGCCAGGCCACCCCCGGGAAGAAGAGGAACAGGTGAGTCAGCAAGGGCCCCGGCCCAATCTGCACCTCTGGCGAGGCGATTTTCTGGCTGACCCTGCATGGCAGCTGCTGCTTCTGATTAGTTTCAGTAGTCATGGAGGGAGGGAGGAGGGAATCAGTTCAGCCTGGAGGCAGGCAGCAGGCAGGATCTCTGAGGGTGAGGGGACAGTGCCACTCAGCTCTGCTGTCCCCACCCTCCCCCAGTGGTCACCAGTGTGGTAGGAGCTTGATCTGCTGTTCTCTGTGGGCATCGCCCACTGGAAACTACAGTGCCAGGCTGAGGGCTGGGAGAACACACTTTCCCTTCCTACTGGAGCAGGCCCAGAAAACCTGGGAGGAAACCAGGCAGGGTGGGGTGAGGAAGGAGCCCCATGGGGACCAGGGCCACAGGCGCCCTGAGCCTTACCTTTCACATCTCCATGTAGAATCCTTCGGGTATGGAGGTATTCCAGTCCTTCCAGAGCCTGGCCCAGGTAATAAAGAGCCCGGTCCTCTGGCAGACAGCCCCTCTGCTTTATGAGCTGGCCCAGCGAGCCACCTAGGAGACCAATGGCCAGTCTTTACATGGGGCTTTTCCAGGCCTGCAAGCCAGCCAAGGGCAAGTGCCTTCGAAGGGCAGGTGGTAGAAAGCAGGCCTTTCTTGCTTATGTCACAGGGTCAAGAGATTAAAAACGGATTGACTGGGCTTCCCTGGTGGCGCAGTGGTTGAGAGTCCGCCTGCCGATGCAGGGGACACTGGTT